ATATTTTTCTTTTACAATAGAAATTAATTGTAAATTTTTATACACCTAGCATAGAGTCTTAAATGGTAAAAGTAGTATTAACTTACACTTTTAATTTTTATATTTAAAAAATATAGTATTAAATAAATAAATATTTACTTTTTAAGCTTCATTTAAATTAAACAAATTAATAAAAATTATATCATATTATATTATATGAGATGAATTTATTTTTTTATAATTCAAATTGCACTAAAAATTAAAAGAAAAAATTACTCTCAAACAGAGAGATAGTTTTAATATGAAGAAGTTTGCCCTCGTTTAAAGATTAATTTAATTCAATCTAATGCAAACAGTTTAAATTACACTAAATACTTTTGTTAGAAGATTACAGTTAATAATTATTTTTCAAATGTTAATATTTTATATTTACCGTATTTTCTTCCATTTAATCCAATTTAATAGGTAATTAATGTTTGTTTTGCCTCGCCTTTATGTAATTAAGAAAGCGACAAATTAATTTAATTCCAAGATGATGTGAAATGTGCTTTATGACTGAACTGTTCACAAATACGCTTGAGACTTTAATTTATGTTCCAATTGTAACTCAAATTGAGATGTTGTTTGAGAATGTGGATGATCTTTTATTATATATTCTTTTGTTGCAAGAAAAAAAACTAGGGATGTGTAAATGGCTGAGCAGTTTAGGAAACGTGAAAAGGAGTGGAGGGAGTGCAATTTGATCAGAAAATAAGCAGGGAAGGCATGCATAAGTATAAATCACACTAAGGGCTAGGGCATGGCCGCATGGGGAAGGTAAATTTGGGGCAGACACGCTGCCTAACTTTAGCTGCTTTCCATTGCCTAATTTGTACAGTTTGCAGTAGGTACATATCCACTTGAGGCAAGACATTTGTATGGGTTACAATTTGCGAAAGGAACAGCTATTGTTTCATATGTTATATTATATATAATAATTGGTGAAGAATCCTTAATTAAAAGAAGGCCGCTATTTGCCTATAAATATTTTTGGATCAGCAAAATTATAAAGGTAAATCTACTTTCTTTTATTATTATTATTTTTTAATTTATGGCAGAAAAATATAGTTTTTATGATCATCTGAACATAGTGGTAACAGTAGGAATATACAAAATTACTTTGTTGTTTCAAGAAACCATATATATGCTTAGCTTCAAGATTCTGTCCTGAAGACATGTATGAGAGCTGAGAAGCAGCTGGAATATACAAAAAAAATTTTTCCTATGCTTCTTAGTGGAAAAATCCAATTTAATTAGCCGAAGTTGTTGGGTGAGATGCACTTGGATTTCAAAGAGTTGTTTTAACTTGTGCTTTATGTGTAATTAATATATTCCTTTTAAATTAATTCACATTGAAGAAATTAAAATTTATCTTTATTTAATCACTTGTCTAATTAAAAATAATACACAAGTCGTTGATAGTGAAATTAACAATTTTTTTATTTTTCTATATAATTTAATGTTAAAAAAATGCATTAGAGTATATTCTTAATTTGTAGTTTAAGGACGTGTATATTAATAAAACCCTTTCAAAAATATTATATTTGAAAGAGTTATAATAATTGGAAAGGATAATGATATGTATATAATTCTTTATATTTTTTTTATATAATTTTTATATATTATTAAATGAAATATCATAGATTTTAATACAATAAAAAAACTAATTCCTAAATAACATATAAGATTAAAAAAAATTGTAAAAATTTATTCATTGAAAGGGTTATCGATTTCCAACATGTCCACCACTAATTTAGGAAAAACAGGGTGTACAAAATCTAGGGTTTTATTATGCTACCAATTCAGATTAAAGCAGATTCTCTCATTTGCCAAACGGGATTCTAGGGTTTATGAGAAAAGTGAGGTAGAAGCTATTAACTCTAATAATTAGCTAGTTTTAGGTTCATAATAAGTTTGGCTTTTAGGAAAAATGCTAAGTAAGACTCTATGACACGCTCTATATTTGAAATTAGAAGTTATAACCAATCATATAGAAAAGTAATTAAATTTAAACTGAAGTTAATGATAAGTAATTTTCTTGTGATTATTTTTTTTAGTACATTAGATTATTAATTGATCAAAAAATTAAAAAATAAATTTTTTTTAATTTGTTTCATTTATTTTAAAATTTAAATTTAAAATCTCTAAAAAAAATTCAAAATTTTAATCACTGATGAGACGTTTCCTATCAGGCCTTTCCAATGATTAATGATAGGTAATAAAAATTAAATTTAATATATTTAAAATTCAAAGTTATAACCAATCATAGAAAAGTTCGTTCGATGTGGCCAATTATAAAGAGTGATTGAAGAAAAGTGTCAAAGAGAGTGTAACACTTTAGGTTTTTATTTCAAATGAAGATCAAATATCTCAAATTAAAGTGATAATAATGTTCCCACCATTGCCGATCTAAAAATAAAAAAATTATGTTCCCACCCACTTAGAAGATCTTTGTGCGTAATTAAGTTTGTATGCAATATATGTACAAGTAAAATGAGAAACGCTCATCTCCAATCCTACGGTCTGAAAATAAAAATTTTAAATTTTCCTATGGTTATGAATATGACATTTAAAATGACTAAATGATACAATATTTGTGTCAAATAATTTCAATTAAATAATTGTATACTTCGAATATAGATGATTTATCTCTATTTGCTATACTATTTTTTTTATCAGCATTTGCTATATTTTTTATGTTTAATTAATTATACTTTTTCAAAAAATGTCAGCAAATTAAGGAGAGAGCCTAATCTGAATTACCAGCAACTCTTACCGAGGACTCAAATCATTTCAAAAAGAAAAAAAAAATGGCACAAAGACTGAGGTTTCGTTTCGTTGGGGATAATATTGTTGTATATGACATTTTTGGAGCCACGATAGACGAGACAACATTGCACAACAATCCCGAACAAACCTTACTAGAAACATCACCTTCTTTTAGATGAAAATAATGAAGAGAAAAATTAATGCAGTTCTTAGCATATATATAAAAAGATAAAATCTAAACTTTCGTTCACCATAGCAAGAAATTGTAAATTGAAGCACCAATAAAATTAATTTCTCCTTTCATATGTGGAAGTTTCCAAGTTTCATGTAAATTAGTCTCTGATGGGGGATAAATGGAGGAGTTTCAAGGGTTTATATAGATAGGAGAAGGCTACATCCATACATTATAACAGAATCTATAATGCTAAATTAAGAGAAGCATAGAAGTTAACTTTAGTCTTATGAGAGTATTGGAGGGATAAATTATAAAAAACGAGGCATAATTAAATTTAACAAAAATGACTGCAGAAGCAAGTTGTCTGTAAATAGTCATCCAGGAAAAGAAATTAACAGTCAATATTTGAAGGCATATACATGACATTTCCTTCCTTGCAACATTAAAATCAATTTAGACAAGAAATACTTAAGACACACCAAGAACCTGTCCAAATTTGGTTTCATTTGCAAGTAACAATTCAAAAGAAACAAAAGTCCAGGCAATCTGACATGTTATAATTTGATGATCAGCTTTTATGTAAGAAAAACTTAGCCAATAGCTTTTGAACATATATAAAACTCATTGGCACAATCCTAGTTACATATGCATAATCATATTGATGACATCACAAAAGGTATTGCTTGAAAGATTTTCCCACATTACTATAGGCTAGGACCCCTTTTGTGGAATTTTAAAAACACTAGAACTAATCCTAAATGGTGAACCTCGAATATTGCCAAAAGAGAAATAAGGTTTCTCTAAAGCAGCTATATATACTATATAGTACTATAGAAAATTAATTAATGTATTGCCTTCTTGCCTAAATACAATGTTTAGGAACACACCTCGAACTTCAAATTTATAAAATACAATGTTTAGGAACACATTTTGAACTTCAAATACATTTAGGAATTTTCTAACTTATCTATTGAGATCCAAGTAATCAAAATAGTTAAATATGAATTGAAATTAGCTGTACTTATATCACTCACAATCACACTTTTTCTTCGATGTGAGATTTGACACAGGGTGTCACAATAATGGCTTCATAGTATCTAATCATCAAAACCTTGTCCGCTAGATAATTTAAGAAAATTTCCCTCCAATATCTCCATATACATATAGTTCTATATATGGCCTCTCCATCATAATCATTTTTATATGTTTGGAGACCTATATATATATATATATGGATGAACATACATATAAAATAAACTTAACATGGACTTCATCTTACTCCATCTTTTTTTTTTTTGGTACATCAGATCTTACTCCATTCTATATATCTTCCTTTCGGGACATTTGTATAAAGTAGATGATAGAAATCGAAACTAAAAATATTTGACATACGAATTCATACATAAGGTGAGCTGTGCATGTATAAAATGACACAATTGTCGGCCATTCTGAACTCTAATTATATATGATCTCCTCCCTTCAATTGAAATGACAGCACTAATGAATCAACATTCATTCAACTATATACAATAATTGACATAAAACAATTAAAACTATCTTTTAAATTTAAAAACACAATAATAAATTTTAATACCATAAATAATTAAGCCAGAACATTGTTTCAATCCAGACAAAAAAAAGCAGTGAAAGTAGCAGCACAATAGGGGGAAAAGCAAGAGAAAAGTCAGATAGACACAATTAAGACCTGCAGAATGCTAACTTATGACCAGAATCTGCAAACCCAAATGCAATGCAACTGACATACATACGATCTCGCTTTTTTTTTTTTTTAATGATCAACAACATATGACCATTTTTTGTTTGTCTTCTAATATTGAGGCGTGAAATTCCAACACAGTGTTTCAGGCAAAAAAACATGCACTTTATCAACTAAGTTATCAATCATTCCGCAAAGTTTCTTTCAATCTTTTTTAACAAAAAAGAAGCTGAATTTTCCAAAACCCATTTTTAAAAACAGCAAAAATGATCTCAAAAAGGAGAGAAATTAAGATACAGGGAATAATTAAGATACACATGATTTCTGCAAATTTATATATTTCAAGTACATGAAAAACACGAGATCTTAGCTCCCACCACTGCCACTAGGAGTACAACATATATCACTTCTATGGAGCTACCACTTTGTAGTACAATTCCTGCTACTACTTCAATTCCACTACTTGTTATACTAACACTGTTTGCATCAAAAGCAGATTTCAGTTTTTTCTCTCGAATCTCTAATAAACCCCATTATTTTGCCTCAAAGCAAACAGAAAGTAACCCAAGAAATATATTAAAATAGCATAACCATAGTATATCCATGGATCTTATGCCAATTACCTTAATTTGCACCTGGTGGTGGCGGAGGAAGAGATGGGATTTGTTGTTGTGGACGCTTACGCTTCTTCTTCTCGTAGCTGATTCCTCTTGCTTTGGACTGTAAATCACGAACCTCACGGAGATAGAGTCTGACGGCGCGTGCACCAAAAGGGTTTGCTTCCGGTTTTCCACCGTTTTCTTCAAAGGCGGCACGGAGGCGGCCGATGAGGGCGTCAAGGCTACCCCAGGCTTGGCGGAGAGGGCAAGGACAGGGGGCGGGAGGGTTAGGGTGGCCGTAGAAAGGGCAGATTGCGTTGTGGACTTTGGTTTTTCCAAATTGGTCGAGGTACCTGAGGAATTCCAGGACGTGTGCGCCGCTGCACCGGGAGAGAGAAAGAGGGGGACGGTGATTCTTCAGGTACTGACCAAAAGTGTTCCAGTCCCGGCGCTTCTGGTTCTCGTACCGACTCGAGGACGTCGAAGAGGATGCAACAAGTGAGCTGTTGCTGCTGTTGGTGGAGTTAATGGAGGTGGAACTATCCATTTCCGGAGCAGAATCCATGGGAAACCCTTCTAAAACTAGTTAGAAAATGGTTTATGACGATACTATCACAGCTGTGGGGATGTTGTAACACAGGAAAACGTGTTCAGTAATAATCAATGAATGACAAGAAAGGTGAGGTGAGGATGAGGGTTTTGGTCATGGGTTGTCTCTTTAACTAATCCTCAATCCTCATCTAGGGTTTTCATCTCAGTTGGGAGAGTCATGATAAGAGGTCTTAAGAAGAATAGGACAGTGTAAATAGACCTAACAGGGGAAGAAAACTGATGAATATAAGGCTCCATAAAATTCTTGCATCAGAGAGATTATGGGTCTGCTTTTTTTTCTGGCAGATGTCATTGTTGATGAAAACAACTATACCCAATAAAACAAAAAAATAATAATAATAAAAATAAAATAAAATAAAATGAAAAAGAAGGGAGACCTATGATCCTACCCTATCCCCCTTGATTACTGATAATCGGTTTATATAATTAGATAATTTCTATTTTTGAGGAGAGGAAATGGGAAGAGAAGCAAAGGAAACTGAAATAGTGATGAAAGTGGGGATGATGGGATTGATTGGAAAGAATGAGAGAGACTTCCTCACTTTCTTTTTCTTGGTGTTTGATTGTTTGAGCAAATACTAGAAAAGTTTACAGAGGTTAGCAGGGGGATCAGTGGGTATTTTGGTAGGGGCTTTGGGAATTCTGAAAATGGAGAGAAAGATGAGAAATTTTTTCTAAAAAAAGTAGGACAGGTGAGCTCTTTGTTGATAAATGGGTTAATTAAGGGGTTTGGGAAATACTGAGGGGAGACAGGAAAAAGCTTTGAAGTGGGTAAAATTAATGAATAACATGATTTTGTTTCTTTGGATTTCACTGTAGTATTGATTGACAGTTCATTGCCCCTCTGACCTTAATGCCCCTCACATTTTTTAACTTTTCCTCTTGAAACAATTAAATTAAATTAAGGGCATGTTTGGTGCAACTTCTAAGAATTTCAGATTTTGTATACTATTTATATCTCATAAATTTAAATTTTTCTCTTAAAAACTTATACTTTTAAATATTTTTTTAACCTTAAAAAGCTCTTAAACAGTAAAAACTCAAAAGTTTAAAATCCAAACTTTTCATAAACTCCCTTTTTATTTAATTTTCACTTACTTTTTCACCTTTCTAAAAGTTAAAACTCTATTTTCCCTCCAATAAAAATTTAAACTTATCACTCATAACAGTACTCAAAAAACTAAAGCTTCTACCAGCCACACCAAACAGTCCCTAACTCTTATTTTCCCCACTTGCTAGTAGTAGTTAATTTGATCTTATCTATACAAACTTTTCCATTTATTTTGTTGTATACATTCTTTTATTTCTTAAACGATCTTTAAAAAAGGGTGTTGTCAAAAAACATGTGCTACAACTGGTATTAATTATGCCATTTTTTTTAATCGTTGGTCATCACATTAATTAGGGCACATTTCACTTAGTTCTAACTATTATATTGTTATTTTTATTCTTTTTTATATCAAAAAATTAATTATTTGATAATATAAAATTTTAAATATTTAATTTTAACTTTAAATTAAAAATTTTAAATCAATGAATATCATTGTTGTTTATATTTTGTAAACATATTAAAGAGTTTCTTTAGGATTAAGGAGTAATAAATGTATTATTTTATAATTAATTTATAAAAAAAATTATAAAAATTAATTTTTATTTTAACATGATTATTGTGGAGATGATTTTAATTAATTAATTAAATTAATATTTATATTTATAATTTTTTATACATATTAATTATAAAAATATACATTAAATATACTTTTAATTTAGAAAAACTTAATATTAAATCATAATTTATATAGTAAAGAAATACTAATGAAAATAATAAAATTTAAGAGGTTTAGCCGTATAAACTTTAGTAAAAGACTCTTAGATTCGAGCTGAAGTCAATTTCTAAAGATACAAAACAAAAATACATTTTAGAAATTGTAGTATTTGATTTTCTTCAACCTCCGCAACGAGGAGCAGAAGAAGTAATGGCGTTTTTTCTCACATAAATGTCTTTTCTTCCACTTGTTGTATTTTTTTTTTTCTAATTATTTTGTCAATTTTCTTAATTCATTGCTCCAACAAGTCCGACTTTATTGAATTCTCATAAAAAGATATCTTACAGAAACCGAATCTTACTAACAGTAAATGAAGAGCAGCCCACGATATAAACACATTCATTGATATCATAATCTGGAAATGGATGTGCATTTAAGATGAGAATTAAATAACTGTAAACACTAGTACTTGCACACGATAGAAAAATGGACCACACAAGATTTTGGGCCGAAATTTTTGAGCCATTTCTTAGGATTGAGTCTCACATGTCGAATAATTTAGAGTTAATAATTTAAATAATTTAATAATAATTTTTTAATTAAAATTAAAAATATTAAATTTAAATCATATAATATGTAAATTAAAAAATTAAAAAATAAAAAAATTAACACTTATTTAAAATAAAAATAAAAATGAACTTAAAATTTTCAGCCTTTCATTCGGCCTTCACTTTCCTTGTCCCAAAATCAATTTCATAGAGAAACATATAAAAATATATGTTACTTTCAAGGTAAGCTCATTTTTCCTTTATTATATGCTTCAAGAAAAATCAACAAATGTTGGTCACTGTAGTTGATGGTTCCCTCCTACCTGAAAAATATATGTTCAAATTCAATATTAAATAAGCAAATTAATAATTCAATTGGCTATCATTATATGCATTTGTCCCACTAATTTTTTTAAAATTTTTGTTTTTAAGGTATATATTCATTTTAAATCAATTATCCTAGGAGTAGCAGACAAGTTACAAAACCCAGGATCGAACATCTTTACAATTGGGGAATCCAATCTTCATTCATTGTACATTTGTACAAGTCCACCGTCCCTGTCTCTCCCCCAGAACCCTTGTTCCCCACCAAAAATTTATCAAACCTATAAAAATGTCTTTTAAAAAATGAATAATATAAATGACCCTTCAATGTGCTGATCATCTCCTTCCTAGCTTGTGGAAGTAGATGTCTTATTGCCTTTTTGGTAATTTTATTTTTTTATGAGCATTGTACGATGGCAATTTTGTTATTCTAGAAATAACCCCTTGAAACTTATGTATGGTTCGGGAAAGGGGGGCTTAGCCAAACTCTTTTATGTCATAATTTTTGGGAGCACCATTAATTCTACATTTCTTGCTTTTTTTTATTAGTAAATGATGTTTTAACCGCAAAACAAAGAAATTTGTATTTAAGCATAGTGCAAGGCGTTCTTTAATCTTTAGGTCCTTTACATAAATCAATACAAGCCTATTTTTACGTCATATTGATCACTCCACCCATAACTTTTTTTTTTTTAATAATCAAGGGTATTCTTTAATTTTTATGCATCTTAAAATTAATATCTCTTCAATTGATATTAAAAATGTATTATTTTACATTGACTTAATACATTTAATAAAATTAATTTTTTAATTAAATACTTATTTCAAAACTTAAATTATGTATAAATTTAACTTACAAAATTGTATTTATTTATTAATAAATTCCACCCATAAGATCTACTCCACCTAATTAACTTCTTTTCCACACAGAAATAACATGTCTTATTAACCCACAGCCCTTCCCTGACCCCTTCCCTTTCTAAGCACAACTGGCAAGCTTTCTACGAGATTTGAGCACCTACCCAAATGCAATGATTGGGCTTTAGTATATAATTTTTAATTTACAATATTTTGTACTATGTGAGATGAAAATCACACATTATGGTGAAATTAACTCATATATTTATTGTATGAATGGATAAACACTCATTCAAGACATTGATATTATATCACATTATATAAAATATTGTGTCAAAAAACATGTAACTGAATCCATTACTAATTTTTATTCTTCTCTTTTGAAATAAATTGTTCTCCTCATAACATCTTCCCATTGTAATTGCTTCACTAAATAAAAAGCTAATAAAAAAACACTACAAGCCATAAACTTGAATGCTTGTAGGAAAATGATTAACCCACAATTGATTCTCACAACTCTACGTGACAACGATTGGAATTAGTTCTTTTCAATCTGTCAAATGTGAATGGGATGATCTTTTCGTAACTAGCGATGAGCTAGCAATTGTGAGATTTGATTCAGGTCAAGTCCTTTTTGTGAGTAATGGAGAAGCTAGACTTTATTGTTCATTTTTAGTGATTGGGTTCAGCTCGATCTCAACCTTGTGTGATGGAGAGATAAAAAGGTTACTGTATATGGATTGATTGAAGCCAAGTAGCTATAGTTTATAGGGAAGGAGGGAGGGTCATTGTTGAGTTTGTTCTACTTCATAAGCGAGGTTGAGTTGTCGATCGTGTGTTTGTGACTTTATGAAGGCGTTGAAGAATTGCTTATATTTTTATAAATAAAAAAATATTTTACTAATCAAAGAAAAAATTGATGAGACGTGTAAATTAATATATTTATTTATTTAATATTATATTATTGATATTTTATTTTGAAATTAAATAATTATAAGTGAATTAAATTTTGTTATTGAATTAATTATATTATTATTATAAAAATAATAAAAAATTATTTTATAATTTAATTTATATCATATTATAAAATATAAATTTTTAAATAAAAATAAAATTTTTAATATTAAAAACTTTCTTTTAAAAAAAATTATTTTAAAAATTCAGTAAAATATACTTTAAGATTAATCCCAAATTAATTTGTTAAAAAGTGCTCCCCGTGCACGCACGGGCTCAGCAGCGGAGAGTTAAAACTGGTACAAAAGTTGTTGGGAATGGCCTTCCACCATTATTGAGAACACTATTCAAAGGATGAACCTAATTATTCAAATGATGCATGTGAGGTACTTGAAATTAACATTGAAAAAAATTCAAATTTTCTTCCTTTAGGGTGATATAGAAAGAGTGTGAGAGAGCCCCCAAAACGGGTAGAAAAAGCTGACCAACTCAACATCAAATACGGCATTAGTGCATGATACAATGAATTCTCTCATTGATTGGGTGAAGATGTAGAGATATTATTTTATTAAAATTATGTAATTTTATTTAATATAATTATTAAAAATAATTAATATTTATTTTTTAAAAGTTAATATTTATTATGTATTTTTATTAAAATTAATTTATAAATTTTGTATTTTTAAATATTATAATTAAATTTTTAATAAAATATTATAAATAAATAAAATATTAATTAAATTAATAATTTTTAAATAACTATATAACCACACCATTTAGAAAGAGAATAGAGTCAATATTTTCTTTCGTTATTTTTCTGAAAAAGAGAGTTGGCTCTCTTAATTTTTTTTTTTTTCCGTTTACAGAGGCAATGTTTTTGCCCCTTTAAAGCCAAACATTTTTGCAGGGGCTGCTTGTGCACCGTTGATTCAGAGCCGTTGGATCAACGGTAGCATATTAAAAATTAAAAATTTTTTTTTTAGGTTGAATAAAATAATTTTAATAAGGTTTTTTGATAAAAACTTTGTTTAAGTATATGCATTAGAGGAATACTGTTTTATTAACTGTTTTTTTTTTTTTAACTTTTTGACATGAGGTGGGTTCGAAACCGTTCAGAGAGAGGAGAAATGCACTTTTCAATGGCAAGTGTCATTGGACCTCTAGGCCAAGTGCTTGTTTTATTAATTGTTTTATTTGACAATTCATGAATTTATATAAAATAATATTAATTATGATTATATGGCATTAACAAAACATTAAAGAAAGCTTTTTCTATGTACATCCACTTTGGAGCAAATTCTTAAAAGCCGAAGAGGAAAACCAAGGAAAACCGACATAAGATTAGGCAAATTAGTATGGCATAACCTTGAACTGGGCCTTTAGACCCAATGGTTTGACCCTAACCCTTAAGTACTTGGGTGAGGTGGTTGAAGTTTCGAACTCTACTACCGTCATGAACTCCACCAAAAAACAACCTAATGATCGCGCGCCTCATTTGAGAAGTGAAATGTTCACCCGATCTGGGGATTGAATCCCCAGTTGTTAACAACTAATTCATACTAATTTTTTAACTATTACCCTTATTAAAAAAAAAAAAAAGTATGGCATAACCCTCAAATAAGGTAACACGAATAGATCCATCTCTTAAAAAAATATAAGGATAAATTATCTATTTAAATCATAAATCTAAACAAATTACTTATTTTTAAACTTGTGACATTAGTTTTTCATTGGTCATATAAGTATTTTTTAACGAAAAGTTGATGTCACACATTAAAAATGAGTGATTTATCTTGATTTATAATTTAAAATTAATAATTTGTTCATGTATTTTTTGAGAGCCAAATATATCCCTACCCCTATTTGAAAGGTAAATTTAGGGGTTTTGTCAATTAGTAACTGCTAATTTTTATATTATTAACTTAAATATTTTGATATAAGGTTAAGGTGAATCTCTTACACTAGCAAGTAACTTCTTAATAAATAAATAAATAAATAACAAGGAGAAGAAAACAAACAAAGAGAAATGGCGTTATCTCTGCCCTCTGACATTTCGCCCATTAGGCAAGAAATTCTTTTACAATGCTCAAAATTAAGTCATAATCCTGCCTATATATTATGACTTGAGTTTAGAATATTTAATTAATATCCAGTAAGCTAATTAGTTTAATAGTACTATTTTTTAAAAATAAAAGGTATTGAATTTGATTCACATTGTATGTTGGTGGAGTAAATTAAGAAACGAGAGATGATTGACTTTTATTATATAATTAAAAAAAGAATCTTTAACTTATAAAGGATTTTTCTAAGATGTATCCTTAAACTCAAATTAAGGGTACATTAATTATATTTTTTTATAATAAATTTTATAAGAAAATGTAAAAATAAACATATCGTCACATAAAATGCTTTTATTTAGATAGTTGATATATTTAAAGTCAAATAATATTTTTTTATGCAAGTTAATTGTAAAAAATATAATTAATATATTTTTACTTGTGTTATTAAGATAAATCTTAAAAAAACATATTTATGAAAGGATTTTTCTAACATATGTGCAATTATTGTATCTTTTTTATATTAATTAGTTTTTTTTAAGTTCACCTTTATTTAAGTAATTATTCAATTAAAATAATCCATGTGATATTGGTGATGAAATTAATGACAAATTTTGTAGTATTTTTTAATATTAATGTAAAAATAACATAATAATTATACTTTTAACTTGTATATTAAGAGTACAAATTAAAAAAATCCTTTACAAAAAGAAAGTTACTGTTTATCTAGCCAATAAATCATTAAAGATGCAAATTTTCAATTTAAATTGGTAATACATATGAGTTAAAATCCACTTACACATAAATTTTATATATTACATTTACATAAAATTTTGATTATTCATCTATTCACCTTTAATGATTGAGATTTATTAATTTTTTATCTTATTTATTAAAGATAATTATTTTTTATTTAAAAAATCATATTAAATATTAACTATTGAATGTAAAAAAATAAATAATCAAGTTTGTGTAAATGTGATAAGTAAAATTTATATATAAGCATATATATATATGAGATTAGTTTCTTAACTAGATCTCATAAAACTTAAGATAAACACCTCAAAACTATAACATTTCATTAAAATAGTATACAAAAAGACTAAAATAAACCAATTTTTAGTTTAAAGATAAATTATTTTAATATTTTTTTAATAAAATTTTATTAAAACAATGATTTTAAGACATATTCCACTTTTGTTTTTTTTTTTAATAAAATTTTATTAAAACGATGATTTTAAGACATATTCCACTTTTGTTTTTTTTTTTCTTTTTTTTTTGTGATCTGGCCTGTATGTCCTTTGCATCCATACTAACCTAAATTTAAGCTAAAAATGTCATTGTTGACTGTTTCATAAAAGATGGAAAAGACATTTCCAACCTGAGCTGGTAATTTTTTTGCCAGTTCCAGATTGGCAAACACACTTCTCCAAGTCGTCATAATTTCTAAGTACCTGTAGACAATGTCTTGGTGTGTGTATGCGTGCAGGAGAAGGAGAAAGCAAAAGGTGATTCGCTTAATTAGAATTGATGCACTTGCTTTAGGAAACAAATGGAATCAGAGAAGCAAAATTTAAGAAATGAAGTCGCAGTGGTTAAATGAAATCTTTGTCTGTTTTAGGAAGGAGGGCTCAATTCAACTTAAGTGTCTTATTTTATTTTACTTTACTTTAATCAATGGCATGTGCCATGCAAGTGCGCTGCATACCCCCTCCATCTTGTTGGTTACTTCTCCCAGAAGATATAAAACCTCTCCTGGTTTTTAAAAAAATTTAAGTCATCAATCATCTCTCTCAAAAGACTTCATGTTGTTCTTGAGATTTTCAAGGCAATAAGAGCAACTGTTATCAATTAAAATTTAGTCGCGTTGACATTTACTAACTTAAAAATCTTGATTTAAAGTCCAAATTAAGAATTCAAACCTTTATACTACCAAGCAACTTACTGAAACCCCTAAATTATTTTTCGATTTCTCACTCCAGGTTCTGAATTTATCTCCAGACCACATAACCTCCTATACCATACAGTCTGAAAGGCTAAGGTAATACTAACTTATCTTTGGACCACATAAGCTCCTATATACCCTATTCTGGACAGTTAAGGACATAGTCCTTAGTTACAAGGAAATGTCATGTAACTGTCATCTACCTGCGCAGTCAACATCTAATTGAATGAAACATGTCGATGGATTTTTTTCTTTTTTCTTTTTTGTTTTTTTGACAGTCAATGGATGAATGCATATATGCATGTAATATAATTTTGGATCAAAGTCAACAACATGATGAGAGTAAGTCGGAGTGTGGCAGGTAAGAAGTATTTTCGTCCCCAAAAGCCGAAAATTAAGCAATATGTTTGGTTTTTGGTCCCAAGCTTTCCTTGACTGCATGCATTTGGTGGAGCATGGAGAAAACAGCAAGCTTGAAATATAGTCTATAAAAGATCCTGGAAAGGGCAACGGACCACAGGAACAATACCTGAACCAAGGTCCCTCACAAGGTGCAACTTGAAAGATTGTAACATAGTCACCTGGAAAAGTCAGGTTTATGGGGCTTCATAGAGCCTCACATGGAAGTTTCATGCAGTCTAAAAGCATTCAAGGTCATTCAGAGAAAAAAAAACATAAACAATGGGATATTTGATATCAAATAGCAAAAATGTCATTGGAGCGAAATCTATAGCTGATTACAAGAGTCTGTAGCATATGTACAAAGTATCTACAACACCAAAGAGCAAATATATTGCAACATACATTAAAACTACAATTGATGCTAGGGCAAGGTAAGTGCTAAGAAAAATTGAAGCCAGGAAATTAACAACCAGTCCAACCCAAAAAGAAGAAAAAAAGGGGCAAAAGGGGCAAAAGGGGCAAAAGGAGAAAAGGAGACTCACATCCAAGTGGGGAGTAAATTAAAGAATAAAGTTATATGCTGCTGATTGATGTAGCGGAAAAACTAAAGAGGACATGAAAGGATCAAAGGGTGATATCAAGAGAGAATGACTTACATTGAGTGGCATGCTTAAAAATAGAGAAATCTGAAATAAAACAAGTATGTTTCCTATTGTTCTTCACGATTTCCCTTTTCCCATGGCCCCCTCTCTCTGATTCCGAAAGTGACTAAGAAGCTGTTGTGCCTGCAATACAAGTGAAAGAGTTAATCATGCTTCTAATGGGTCCCCCAATAATCCTCTTTGAACCATATAATATTAAAAGTTGCATCACTGTGTAGATGAATCATTGACGGAGGTTATATTTCTGATAAATGATTCACCAGGGAAAGGTGTACAGCTCCCCCCAAGAGGCAAGTGGTCATTTCAGAAAAAAGGAGCATTAAAATTCACATTCACTTGTGCAGTGACCCCAAAAGGCTAAAATGCCATTTCCAATGTTTCATCAAATGTTCAGCATGCACCTTATACTTCTCAATTTGATTCAATTAACCAAACTATACCAAAAAAAGGTTAGCCTACAGTAATAACAGAAACCATTAACACCACTTGGTACTGACACTAAGTTACAGCATTTTCCCAAAAATGGCTAAAACACTCAAGATTTTGCATTGCACTTAAGTTGCAATATCAATGAGCACATTTTAGATATCTAATTGAATTAAATTAGGAAAGAAGAGAAATTGAACAAAATAAAAATGTAGGGAGCTTATTATTCACAAATCCGCTTGTGTCACATACATAAGTAAAAAGAAAGCATGTAATAACGGAATCCAAGTATTGAAGCACAGAAGAAAGAGAAAAGACTAAGCCCGGTACCTTTTCCTTTGCTCTTGGTGTCCCAGACTGCAACAAAGCAACAAGGGGTGGGACAGCCCCTTCTTGCAAAACCAGGGTACAGAACTTGGGACTATTAAGGCAAAGCTGCAACAATATGGAGGCAGCATTTTCCTTACCCCTCTGGGATCCTGATTCAACAACTTCTACTAGTAGGGGGATACCCCCTTCCCGCACAATTGCCAAGCGCCCTTCACCAATTGTTGAAAGGTTTGCAAGAAGGGCAACAGCCTTGTCAACCATCCCTCCATCAGGATCCATCAACTCAACAAGATATTTCACTGCTCCTGCTAGAATTATACGAGCCTTATTTTCATGAAAAATTGATAGGTTAAACAAAGCTGTAGCAGCATCTTTTTTTCCTCTTAGTGTCCCTGAGGCTAACAGATCCACTAAGGCTTTGACTGCACCAGATCGGCCAATCTTTGCCTTATATTCTTCTAAACCAGAGAGACTAAAGAGAGCTGCAGCAGAATTTTCCTTGGCTACATTATTTCCATACTTTAACACATGAATAAGGGGTTCAATTGCCCCTGCTTTTGCAATCATGGCCTTATTGTCTTCATTAATTGATAGATTCAGAAGAGCAGAGACAGCATGCTCTTGCATTAGCTTCACATCTGAGTACAACAGTGAAAGCAAAGGTCCAATGGCACCACAATGGCCAATAATAACACGATTTTCCATGTTGTGCTTTGCAAGAAAACGCAATTCAGCAGCAGCTTCTATTTGGACTTCACTTGATGGGCTTCTAAGGTCTTCTACCAATTTCTTGACATGGGAATTTGTGGTCAGATCATCACATCCAGAGTCAGAAAATTTAAGGGACTGTGTTCTGCTGTAGCTATGACTTCCATTTTCTGCTGCTTCTGCTTTTATGCTGGAGATATGGAATTGCTTTCCAGTTAACCAGGGAGACAATTCAGATTCTTTAGTTGAAAGAGAAGTAGCAGGACAAATTTCTTCTGATGAGTCATTCCCGTTTTCCTGTTTCTTGGAAAAGCTTGAGGTATCATGGAATGACGGAGGCAAATAATCAATACTGGAAATTGCACTTGAGACCGATGCAGTCCTGCTGTGACTATACGAGTTCTCAGGAGATGGGTGATCATACTTTTCAATCTCCCTGCCTTTACATCTGGCATATTCTCCACTAAATCTTGGCAAGACATCAACCTTCTGCTTCTCCAGAACATTTCCAGCTTCAAGAGATGATCTTGATGTTGAACTGCTACTACGTAGAGAACAACGAAAACTATCAGTGTGCAACAAATCTTGAGATGATACATGGTTTGAAGGGGATGACAGTGAGACAGGATTGATGTGCTCAGTGCTGTTGGAAAGTTGTACTTTGTTTTCACTGCACCAAGCTGCTATCATAGCTTTGACAGTGTAATTGGGAATAAGATTCCTGTGAGTGAGCACTTGACGTGTCTTTGGGCAAATGGTCAGTCCATTATCCAGCCAATTTTGGATGGAGGCCCTGTCATAAGTTTGACCAGAAGCCACAATGACAGGATCTGACATAAGATCCAACGACAAGGGACAACGGAAGTACGAAGGTATCAAGACACCACTTCTGGGTTCAAAGTACTCAATTTTCAGCATACAATCACGTACATGAGAGATTAGATCCACAATTTGGTCAATTTGCTCCAGCTTTCCTATGGATTTTCTGGCTTGAGCATTCTTTCTTTCTTGTTCTACAGCAACACTTTCTCTCAAAAGTTCCTGGTTTGATGTCAAGCTCAAGGATTCAATAACTTTTATAAGATGATCGGTGTAAGGAAGCACACCATCTCTTTGACTTCTCAAAGCCCCTTCTATATCATCTACTCGTCTTTCCTGCTTCAAACATTTAATTTGCTGCATACAAAGCTGAAACAGTTGAACCAAAGTTAGCCTCAACTGCTTAGAGAAATAACCAAATAAGAAAGTTGTAGCAGGTGCAATCCAGCCGCCTTAAGAAACCTAAGAAAAAAGTCTTACTTCATACCTGTATATCAGTCATACTTGAAGTAGATGGAGAAGACTCTAAAAATCTATATAGGATGTGACATATGTGAAGCGAAGAGCTTTTCATTTTCATCAGAAAGGATTCACTCTGCAGAACCTGAAATATGAAAAATTATGAGATGAAAAGGAGAGATCTGAAAATCCTATCACCTTCCCCACTCAAGGATGAACGCATACATATAACATAACCTAAAATCAAATTTGTTTGACCGTGATATGATCCTCCATCTCCTAGTAACCAAAACATGAGGAAAGAAATAGTTCAACAAAATAGTCCTTTTTGCAACCTATAACAAGTTGGTTATATGTGGTCATCAGAAAAGTCTTCTTCTATAAACTGTAACATTTAAAATCCAATGAATCTTTACAGGATGTCATGTTTGATAACTCCTTAAATGTGAGCTGAAGAGAAAGCTTCTTTTATGAAAATCAGAATATGCAAGCAAATCAATTTCAAATAAAAGGATAATCCACTGAAAAAGAATCCCTTTTCTAAGCTATTTCTATCCTTCTACCAAGCATTTCACCTAGAGAAAGTGTCTTTAGCAATACTTACACTGCAAATCTTGCTCCTTTTTGGACACCAGTTCTCCAGGAATTCCCGAGCCTCATTAACAGACAAATCTAGCTCCTCACATTCTTTGCATAGAATTTCATCTGATGGTATCTTGTAATCAACAACATCATCAAGAAGTGGTTTCAAGAGTTTTAACACAACAACCATATTTCTGTAATCCTCTTCAATGGGCATAAGTTTCATTGTCTGGCATGAAACCAGATGAATGAATCGAGAAATACTGTTGATAAGACATCTTATTGATGTTGTTTCCATCCTACCAGTGATTGATGAAACATATAACAATTAGAGACAAAGTCATATAACTAACCTCATCTATGATTGGTTACATGAAATAGAATTCATTCATTTAAAGAACAACAGAAGAATTACATAAAAGTAAGAACAATTTTAAAATAATAAAACTGCAGGAAGCCATATTGAATTTAATCACCTTACATGTAACTTTCATTACATTTTCCTTGACAACTAATGCTTACCAATGGCATTTTCCATGGTGACTTTTTTTGCTCAATCTAAAGAAACATACTCGAGAATTCCCAAATAAAATGAAACAGAAGATCATTTTCTCCAAAATCCAATGCAAGTGAAAGAATTTCGACTAATGCCACAAATTTTAGAATGTAAAATTCATAAGACACAAGGTTTTTGACTAATCCATATGAGAAAAACACATAACAACACATGCAGAGCTACTTTACTAGATATCCAAGTTAGAGAAGAAAAAACAAACAAAAGAGCAGACTTCCGCAAGTTCTGAAAGAACGAACAAACATGGGCATTAGCCATTTTCCATATTGACTTTTTTCCAAT